AGGTAAAGCCGAAGATAAGGAAGTAAGTGGTTCCCGGGGCTGCGCGGGGCCGTCCCGGGTGGCGGGGACCGCGGCGGAGCTGGGCCCTGCGAGGGGCTGGGTGAGGGGCTGTGTCTGCTGCCATCCTTCAAGCTGGAGCAGAAAGCGAGCGGGTTCCCGTGGGGTGCCTGCAGCTGGGGCTGCCGGTGACTCTTTTCCACGGGTTTCTTTCCTAGTGGATTCCTGTTACCAAGCTTGGTCGCCTGGTCAAGGATATGAAGATCAAGTCTCTTGAGGAGATCTATCTCTTCTCGCTTCCAATCAAGGTAAGCTTCTGTGAGTATTTAAGTAACGTCCAGGAGAATCTTAATCTGAAATGCAGAGTTCGCAGTAAGTAATTGCTGCAGTGACTCTTTTCCACGGGTTTCTTTCCTAGTGGATTCCTGTTACCAAGCTTGGTCGCCTGGTCAAGGATATGAAGATCAAGTCTCTTGAGGAGATCTATCTCTTCTCGCTTCCAATCAAGGTAAGCTTCTGTGAGTATTTAAGTAACGTCCAGGAGAATCTTAATCTGAAATGCAGAGTTCGCAGTAAGTAATTGCTGCATTTGCTGTCTGGGATGCTCAGGTTAAGTGTGTTTGAGTTAAAGACATGAGTCAATAGAAGCTAAGGACCGAGGCAGTCACTTGTAGGGAAGTGTGGTGGGTTTTGTGTGTTGCATTCTGCCTTGTGTAGAGATGGCAGCACGTTGCTCAAGTGTTTCTGTAATAGTTCTACTCAGTGATGGAAAAAATGAAGTTCTAACTTGCTATGTTAGACTGCCCAGCAAGTTAGAGTAAGTTTATGCCTGCAAAATTTAACATACTTAAGTACCTATTACTTAAAATAGATGTGTATAGGTGTGTTGAACTTGAATTATAGGAGCCTTACTAGATGTGTTCTGGTTGTTTAAAAAGCGTGGCCTTGTGTGATTAAATGACTGACTCTTGCAGGAGTCAGAGATCATCGATTTCTTCCTGGGGTCTTCTCTGAAGGATGAGGTCTTGAAGATCATGCCTGTCCAGAAACAGACTCGTGCTGGTCAGCGTACCAGGTTTAAGGTAGCCTTTTTCTTCTGTTTTCTCTTCTTGGCGTGTGCTGTCTGCTGCTTTTTTGGTATCACATTAATAAGTTAGTTCAAATACCTTTATTTTTTTCTGTAGTATCTAGTAAATATTTTGGTATGGGGATCAGCTTATGTAGCTTACAAAGTGTTTGTATTAATTTAAAAACCCTAGTCATATGTTCAAATATTATTTGAAACAGCATGAGCACAAAATTAAGTTGCACTTGTACAGCAATGCTGGCTGTTCAGGGGCTGTGGTAGAGAGAGAAGTCTCGGGTGTAGAGAGGGAATGCTGCTTGGAAATTAACGGGACTTTTGACCATCATGAGGCTGTAGCAGGGATTTGAATCCCAGTTCTTCAACTGTAGCTGTTTTTTGACTGAAGGATGAGCTCTAAGAGGAAAAACGGGCTTCTTGAACTGTGAGCAGTGACTGTTCACTGCTGAGCACACACCTTGGGTTATCCTTGGTGAGAGACCCTGATGGATTCTGTTCTGTCGACACAGCGTTCCCATGCAGTGCAGCTGCCGCTGAAAACTTTTCTTTCAATCCTAGGCTTTTGTGGCTATTGGGGACTACAACGGCCATGTTGGTCTTGGTGTTAAATGCTCTAAAGAAGTTGCCACTGCTATTCGTGGGGCAATCATTTTGGCCAAATTATCCATCGTACCTGTACGACGAGGTTATTGGGGGAACAAGATCGGCAAGCCCCACACTGTGCCTTGCAAGGTGAGCAGGACTTACTGGGCCTGGTCTCGGTGATGGTGCTGTAGCCTGTGTTTTGGGAGCTGTAACCTGTTGTGTTTGTGTAGGTCACTGGCCGGTGTGGGTCTGTCCTGGTGCGTCTGATCCCGGCTCCCCGTGGTACGGGGATTGTGTCTGCCCCTGTCCCCAAGAAGCTGCTGATGATGGCTGGCATTGATGACTGCTACACCTCGGCCAGGGGCTGCACTGCCACCCTCGGCAACTTTGGTAAGCTTTAGGTTTTCATCTTGTAGCTTAGCTGTATGTATTGCCGTTTGTGTCATTGACAGGGATGCAACATACCCATTTCTGTAGTATTTTTTAATCTGGGTTGAATCGCAAGCTTCTAGCAGTCAAGCAGAAGCGAAGACGTCTGCCGATACCTTTTGCAATGCAGATTAGTCCTGCCGTAGATGATCCTGAAGTTCTGTAAAAGTTAATTACAGGAAATCGTCTTCTGACATTAAAAAAAGAAATCTCCCAATCTGCGCGATTGCACTTGTCTGAAGTAGTGTAATTGTCGTAAATGGAGAGAGAGAGAAACTTGAGTTTTGTGTGTATATCAGAGGGACCCTGCTGTGGTCTCCCTGTTCCTTCCTCAATCCTACATTTGTGGGGCTGCGTGGGTGGGTACCGGCGGGTGTCTGTAGCCGTGCTGTGCAATGTTTGACTTCTGTCCGTAGCTAAAGCCACCTTCGATGCCATCTCCAAGACCTACAGTTATCTGACCCCCGACCTCTGGAAAGAGACTGTGTTCACCAAGTCTCCTTACCAGGTGAGAGCATGTCTGCAATTTGCAGCTCAGATCTTACCCTTCCTACCCTGTAAAGTTCAGATGTGGTACCCAAAGAATTTGCAGTTTCATAATGGGAGAGTCAGAGCTGACTGCCAGGTAGAGCGTGATTTTTCAGCATGCCCTTTTGAGTAATACTTGAAAACGGCATTTCATGGACAAAAGAAATAGGAAAGCTTTGAAATAGTAAGCAAAACTTAAGTTGTATCTGAACTACCCCAGTCCTCACACACATCTTGTTGCAAGGGGATGCAGTGCTGAGAAACCTGTGATAGTGGTTTAAGAAAATAAACCACTTTTTTTTTTTTTTTGCAGGAGTTCACTGATCATCTGGCTAAGACCCACACCAGAGTCTCAGTGCAGAGAACCCAGGCAGCTGCTGTGGCAACGACTTAAGTGGGTTTTGTACACAACAATAAAGTGATCAGTGAACAAGAAATAGCGATTGGCTTGATGGGATGGTTAATGTATTGGGCAGATGGATTAAATCTCTGCTGGGGATTTGAGTAGGTTCACGTCTGTGGGCCAGAGCCTGAACATCTGTTGAATGAAATAGTATGCTACGTTATCCTAATCCTTGTTAATCATGTATTAATCCTAAATGGGGTCTGGAACTGGCTCTGAAGCTTATGTGCTGTCCTACAGCATGTAATCTTTACCCTAACTGAGGGAATTCTCTGCCAGGGCTGGGCGGAGCAGTACAGCGTGTGTGGTGGTGGGGGAGAGGTCCTGAGGGGAAATCCCAGCTAATGCAGCCAGGTGTGCCTGACAGTGGTTTAGAGGATGGTTACAATCAACTGGAATTCAAAGATGAATGCAGAGCTGAAAAAGGAAGAATTCTGTAAGTGTTTGCAGGTCTCTTCAAAGAATGAGTCTAGATTCTAGTTGTACAACAGATGTCTGGGCTGCACATTTATTGTAGGCGTCAACAGCATCAGAGTTCAAAGATGCAACATGCAGTATTTGATACAAGCACCGCGGAGGGAGGTGCTAACCATTTGGATCTACTGAGATGCATTCGCTTGTGCCTTCCTCTCCTCCATCATCCTGTGCTTCTGCTTCATCAGGCATGTCCTTGCATTTCCATGGACACCAAGATCACCATCTAAAAAGAAGGTAAAAGTCTGAAGAGTGCCTCTCAGCAGCTAAAAAGAAAAGAAGCCTCTGTTCCATGTGAAGTCTGGGACGTGGCTTAAGACCCCCTCTCCCCGCGTGCTGTCGCAGCCGCAGCAGGGGTGTGCAGGCTGTTGCTGTACTCACATCTGTCCTGGTAGGCCTTGGTGACCTGTGCCAGCTGCTCCACCTCCTTGGCGCAGTTCTGGAACTGGTTGGGTCCTTCCCTCTGCTTGCATGCGCCTAGCCTCTCCCGGACTATCTCCACGATTTCCTGGTCAACCATCCTGCAGGAAAGATGATGACAAATGCAACTACAGCCAAGAAATGATAGAAAAGCTGAACAAAGGGGCGATGATACCCTGTGGAAGGTCAGCTCTGGGTTTTTACAGGATCCTGGTCTGCCCTGCAGCAGTGCTGTAGGAACCAGACGGTGCAGGAGGACTTGTCCTAATGCTGCCCTGCTCAGCTCAGGTGTGCTGCAGGGGACAGCAGCACTATAAAATGAGTTTTCTGTAATGCGGTGGGCAGGAGGTGCTGCCTCAACACCCCAAACTCCACAAAAATGAGTCCAAGCCAACTGCTGCAGTTCCCAGGGCTGACAAACCAGAGCAGTGCACTCTGCGGTGGCCTCGCCTGCAAGCAGCCC